GGCTGGTATGGAAGCTCCTATATGTTAGCAGCATCTGCATCTCAGCTTACATACGGTCGCATCTACACTTTTTATCCCATAAAATGGGTTTTCCTTCTCTCCATCTTTGTTTTCGAGGTCGGCTCCGCTATCTGCGGTGCTGCGCCCTCCTCCTTCATACTCATCCTGGGCCGCGCGATCGCAGGCCTCGGAACAGCAGGCATATACTCCGGAGCTGTTATTATCATCGCTCTTACTGTGCCCCTCCGCTTGCGACCGGTGTTTCAAGGAGCCGTTGGTGCTATTATCGGCATATCATCGGTGTTGGGCCCGATTCTTGGTGGGGTGTTTACCACAGAGGTCATCTGGAGGTGGTGTTTCTACATCAACTTGCCCCTGGGAGGACTTGCGGTGGTCGCCATATCCTTTCTGCTAGACGTTCCTCCACCGGAGAAAGGGGACTGGAGCCTTAGAGAGAAGTTCAATCAGCTCGACCCCGTTGGGAACCTGCTAATGGCCCCTGCTGTGACCTGTCTCCTTCTTGCACTTCAATGGGGCGGTAGCACGTACGACTGGAGCAACTGGCGCATTATCTTCCTCTTCGTCATGTTTGGGACGTTATTCGGCATCTTCGCATTTGCAGAGTACCGTCTCGAAGAGAAAGCAATGGTTCCCGCTCGCATCTTCAAACAGCGTTCAGTCCTTGCAGGAATTGTGTTCACTATGTGTACTAGTGCAAGCACTATGGTCATGCTTTACTACCTTCCGATCTGGTTCCAAGCCATCAAGAACGTCGATGCCGAGAAGTCGGGCATTATGAATCTACCTCTCGTTCTCGCTATGGTTGTGGGCTCCATCGGTTCTGGCTCCCTCGTCAGCCTTCTGGGTTACTACAACCCCTTCATGTTTGCAGGCGTTATTTTCATGTCTATTGGAGCTGGATTACTCAGTACATTTCAACCGGACACCGACCACCCCAAATGGATTGGGTATCAAGTTATCTTCGGTTTTGGCCTAGGTCTTGGTGTTCAACAAGCGAATGTCGCTGTGCAGACGTGCCTAGACCCTGTCGATATTCCGGTCGGCGCATCGCTTCTTATGTTTTCGCAACAGTTAAATGGGGCAGTGTTTCTAGCGGTCGCGCAGAATCTTTTCACGAACTTTCTTACAGCAAATTTGGATGACATCGAGGGTATCTATGCAACATGGGTCATTGCAAGTGGCGCAACTACCATACGAAAATTGGTGCCACCTGCAAAGCTGCCAGTTGTTCTTAAAGCGTACAGCGACGCCATCATGAAGACATTCGTTCTGGCGTTAGCCATGTCTTGTCTGGCTCTGTTCCCGACACTTGCTATGGAGTGGAAAAATGTAAAGAGGGTAGCTAAAGGTATTGAGAATGGTGATGATGCATCGGAGAGTACTGATAGCAAGAGGCAGCCTTTGGAGGCATTATGATCTATGCCTAGATAATTTGGAGGACGCAAGGGAGCTTCTTGCCTATATCTAGCGTTGTTCGCATCGATCAGCTAAGGTATTGATCTAAGAGGATATCTATACAGAAGTGCCCGTCTAAGGAGACATGAGCGTCTCACCCAGGTACCTATGCTATAAATACAATGTCGAAGTAGAAGCTTTTACCATCATTCCTTGATAAGCACTATGCAAATAACTTATTGTAACGGTGTAATCGGTAGGATCAAAAAGTAAGATTGCCGCAAGTTTGTCGATACTCAACTATTAGCTGCTGGGTACACGTCACATTGATACAGGTCAGGTGGTAGAGATTCGCGCTGTTTGCTTGCCTGTGCTACAACATACCTGCAGTGTACCCTCTCTCCCATTATCAACTATCGCGGGCGGTGCGCTTCGGAGTTATGGCAACACACCAATGATTTCATCCACATTTTCCAAACTCCTGATCTGATTATATGCACCTTTCTTGGATGGAGAGCGACCTGAGTCTAAATGACTCGGTATCTCTAACAAATATTAAGCGCTGTTAGTTGCCGACTGATGACCGGAGAATAATGTTGGCTGGGAGTGTGACCCTCGTGTATCTTGCAAAAGTTGATCATTCGGCGATGCTGATAGGTTCTGGGTTACAGGATACCCATACCACCCCGACTGCCTGTTAGTGGATATTTGAGCGATGATTTGAGGAACTCTCCAACACACCTAACACCGGTCTAGGGAGTGACAGTCATTTCGAACCAATGTTGAGCGCGCAAGAATGTGCGGGGGACGCCTGGGTTGGTTCTGGAATCCTAGGCTATAGCAGCAACTCTCGTCTCACTTGGTCCAATGAAGAAAACACCGCATTCGATCATCCAGAGCACATCAAAATGGGTGGCGATAGAAACCCCGCTTCAGGTTTGGGGGTGCATCCAATTCAGGAGGAAGGAAGTGTCCGGGTTGGATTCCAATAGGGGTCCCCATTACGCGCGCTTAGTGCGATGTATCCCACAATCACAGGTGTGATGGTTCTTGAAAGAGCGGAGACATATCCATGATCCAAAGGCGCATTCAGCCTAGCACCCGCCCACTCATACCGTCTGGGTCAGCCGGTGGCCACACATTCATGTCACCATTGTGAGATTGGCGTCTATTCTCGCTCTCATTCACTTGACCAACTCAGCCGCCAGCAGGCTTGGGTAGCCAAAAAGCGAAGCATAAGCGCCGTCCGGCAGGATCTCGTTAAATTCAGCGTGGTGTGTGGAACGGATACAGTGCATTAGCTTCCAGGCCGCATCCAAACGCAACCTAGCGGAATTTACGGAGCCTAATTGGCGAAAAGGGATCTTCGGACGGCTGAGCCAAGAGTTGTTATGTGGTACCCCGCTCTTCCGATCGAGGGAATGTGATGCCGTCAATGTAGCGAGATAACGCAAGTGGGCGTAACGCCTAAACTTCCCAGCCAGCTCCTACAGGGATCGGGGCGGCTAACCTGAGTCACCATGCGTAAGGCCATCAATCAGAATGGCCCAATTTATCGACGGTGTTCCGAAGGTCAATTTCAGCTGCAGTAGCGGCTTCTAGTTCTTAGCGGTTAGCTTAGCGGGAGACACCAAGCAGTATGCGGCACAGTGAGCTTGCAGGCGGGAAATAAGGCGCGATATTATCGCCAGGACAAGTTGTGATTCTAGACCCACCCTACTTCGTATCATCTGGCGGCATGAGAGAGCATCGATAATATTGCGTCGTTGACGACATTTAAGGAAGATGGCTCGCCCTTCATCGACAATATCTCAGAGTTCAGTTCTGGATGAGAATCTTTTCTTTTGACGGAATATTAGATCTACAGCGTCTCTCAACCAGTGCTTTCACAAATATTCTAAAGGCAATCCACGTAATGTTCGGTGCATTTCGCTGCAACAACAGTACGTCTAAGAATTTGGAGTTCATTGATTTATCGAGAAAGGTCGGTATGGATTCTCGCAATTCTGCTGTACTGGTAGGTGATCCATTCAGTATCGTCTGGGCGACATATATTGGCGATGCTGACATGTTGTCATCAGGCGTGTGAACCGTGCCGGGCTCAAAAGGTCAGTCAGTCAGCGATCAAACCCTGGGTAGGACTAATACTTGTATAGCTCAAATGCAATGGTGATCTGTATGGCTGCGAAAGGTGCCAAGAGTCATCTACCGATTGCACATACCGCACCCCTACGCCCGCATCCTCCACGCCATTAAGCTTGAAACATCCCGCCTCAGACCTCCCGGCACTTCCCTTGAAGCGGCGGCGGACCAATGGTGTCGGAGCACTGCGTATACATTGCCCGTCGCCAGTTGGACCAACCCCCAGAATACAGTCACCACTCGTACGGCCCGAGCCTGTCTTGATCAATTCCTACCAAGACTGGGGTCAATTTTGCAACATGAACACGACGGAGCACCCAGGGCTGAACTTAACTTTAGACGATAATATGCCCTGTTACCCAACGGCTCCTTTGATCTCAGAGGCACATCTGAAGCCCTCCCATTTGGTGTCGCCAGCTACATCGTATTCAAGTGAAGGCGGCCCCAGCGTTTTTGTTCGAAACCCTCATACGCCTATCACTTCACAGGACCCGTCTAAGAATCAGGGCCAGAATTGCAAGTGCATCCACTCGCTTGCCGACACGCTGGAGAGGGTTGGAGGTGACAACGACCAAAGGAGTAATATCGACCACAGTGAGCGTCTTGATTACTTGCTCACGTCTCTGCACACCGGTGTTGATACATGTACCCGGGTACTTGATTGCACCAACTGCAATATTTGTGCCACAAACTCAATGATTTTTATGGCACTAATTCAGCAGCTTGCCATAAGGTCGAGAGATCTTTGCGACCTACTATTATCGCTCCAAGACAAGCCACAGAGGACCTTGCCAGACGACCCAGCAGATCTCCAACCCGAAGCTAGCGTCTTCATAGGAAGGTATCAAATTCAAATTGAGGCTGTATGTCGGGAGCTCGTCCACACTTTGGCGAACATCCACTTCAGAGATCTTCGTCGCTTACTAGCACGACTTCCTGATATGATTGGGAAAAAGCCAAGGGCGAATAAGATGCTTACTGAGGCCACTGAGACTTCCGAGAAGGCGTCTCATATTCTTGAAGGGATTCTAGTCAAGCGCGCTGCTGAGAAGGCAAAGAATCACGAGTTATACGGCTTGATTACGCAGAGAGGTCCTTAAGGGGTTGCTCGTTACTTCTATGCAAGGTGAGCTAACATCATTCTTCTGATTGCGCATAACCTTCTCATAATGACCCGTTTTCATATATAGATCATCCCGTTTTCTCTTCAGTCACCAACTCGCTTGGCTTGACCACCAACACCAGTTCCAAGTTCTTCCTGGCAAAAACTATGGGACAAATTGCACATTCTCGGAGTTCGGGAGTTCATTGGGGAACAATGTTGGACTGAGCATTACATTGTTAATACAAGCGTTTTTCATAGCCGATTTTTCAGCGATATCAAACCACTTACATTCTGCATTATGCATCGTACATGAAGCACCGCATCCAACAACCCGACCTTACTCCTGAGTTGGCTTGTTCGGGGCACCCTTAACCGGAATTCTGATCGAGCCGTCCTCACGCTTGGCTGGGGCGCCCTTGACAGGAATCCGGATGACGCCGTCGGTTTCTTTCTCTGGGGCGCCCTTGACTGGAATTCTGCTTACACCGTCGTCCCGCTTAGCCGGAGCACCCTTCACAGGGATGCGGATGGAGCCGTCGTCACGTTCAGCCGGGGCGCCCTTGACGGGGATTCTGATAGAGCCATCCTCGGGTACCGGAAGGGGACTTGCTAGAGTGGTAGCAATGAGAAGGGCGCTTGCCTGGAGGAAGATGGCCGAGAGCTTCATGGTTAGGTTTCGAGTTGGCAACGATGGTAGTACCAAAATAATAGTAAATTCTCCTGTGTTTGGGGTTACAGTGGGAACTAAGTACAGTAGAGGCTGAGCGATACCGCTTGCTTATGAATATCCCATAGATTAATTTCTTATCCCTGTCGCCTAACAGTCCCATGCCTCTAGAACTAGTAGTAATAGCCATACAACCGCACCAATCTCAGAATCTCCCCCGTAACTCCGAATGAGCAACAGAAGGTCCAACCACAGCGAACATTGCGAAACACCTCCACTCCTCTTTTTAAAAAGGAAATTTCGCCCAGAAAGAAACAGCCTCTATAATGAGACAATTCACCCGAAGTGGCATAGAGCACCATGTTCGCTGCTGCGAATAAACCAACCACGTGCCATGGATAGGATACGCACATGGACTAATGCGAAACGCGCATATACTCGAACAGGAACGCATGCAGCCACATGAGAGGAGACAAATGCATGTTTATGAATTAGGAAGGTCGATAAATGGCAAAGGGAGGCCAGATCGCGCCGAACTGGTTCGAACCCCTCATTTAATATGCTAGTCTGGTGGGGCTGTCGGGGCTGAGTGTGATAGCTTCAGTTAGGCTGACTGCTACTACGGATGAGGTTTCGGGGATGTATGCGAATGAGGTGTCACATTGCCTTTGGATAAGGTAGCGTTGGTTCCTGGTTGGGAGGGCAAATTGGTATTGTTAGGGTTGATTGGTGGATTAGGTAGGTCTGGATACAATTGCGGTTATCCGATGTTCGGAGGGTGATATCGGCCCATATTGAGGCTAGTAGTGGCATAGCTTAGCTTAATATTACTATGAAAATGTCTCTTTAATTGGCGTTGTATGTGCTGTGCCGCAGTTACTTATCTTGTGAGTCTTTGAAAGCACACTGCATTTCTACATCCCCTTTGTCACACCCAAAATCCGGGCGATCCATTAAAGCCATCATGGGCTTCGAGTACGAACGGTAATCACTTCTCTCCCTACAATCTACACTACGCAGAGACTAACACACAAGAACAAATGAAGGGTAACCAACGCCCGCTCCGATCCTGAGCTGGCGACCCCCAAAGATGCAGGCGATGAAGAAGACGAGGCTCTCCTACAACCCAACACAACCAACACCAACAACAACAACTTGTCTCCCAAATACTACCCCTCTTACTTCCTCAACCACATAAAAACCCTCCTGCTCTCAACCCCAAAATCTCTCCTCCTCCGAAACACCCTCATCTTTTTCCTCGCCATCTGGGGCCTCATCAGCCTCTCACACACCCTCATCCTCTCCATCCTTCCCACAAATACGCACCCTCCCATCCCGAAAACCTGCCACTGCGGCAACTCCACCACCGAAGCCCTCACTCTAGGGTGCAAATTTGACTCCCTGGCCGCAGCCTGGCTTCCAGCACACTGCCGCGACGACGAGCTCACCTCGGAGTTTGAGCGCGCTGGGCCTAATCCCGACGGGAGCTGGACGTACTACGCAGACGATTACCACACCGTGCCCATGGCTATTGAGGAGGTTGCGGCTCTGGCGGATAATCAGTCTGTCAGAGTGCAAATGACGAGGGACTGGCATGTCGTGCATTGTTTGTTTTATTGGAGGAAGATGTTCCGCGTTAGGGACTTGGAAGGGGTGATTGTGGAGCCTAGCTTTGATCATGAGGAGCATATTAAGCATTGTATTGGGGTTGTGTTAGAGGATAGTTGGGGGACTGAGGCGAGGGTGGCGTTGGATACGTAGGTTTTTGTGGGGGAGATGGGGTGATTGTATTGTATTGCTACTATCTATGGGGTTCATACTATATACTATTTGCTGGTTATCACTCTGTGACCGGGTATGCAACTGGTCCGCCTGGAGAAGTTGGTAGTCTGGCAGTAAGGACCTCGACACCGTCTGCTGTTACTAGAAGGGTATGCTCTGCGGAAGTGTCAGTACACATAAAGCTTTGTATCCTTGTAGGGATATTTCACTCACCAAACTGCGCCGTCCTCTTCCCATCCATCGTCACCGCCGTCCAATTATCCGGCCAGATCATATCCCTATACGTCCCCAGAGCCACCATCGGCTCAATCGTAAAGCACATGCCCTCCTTTGCTGCTCCAACGGCCTTATTTCCTGCGTAATGCGGCACACTTGGCAAACAATGAAATACCGTGTTGATACCGTGTCCACAGAACGATCGAATCACACTGCAATCTCTTTTCCGCGCATGCGCTTCAATCACATCCCCATAAGCCCGGAACAGCGCCCCAGGCTTGACCAACTCGATCGCCATGTCCAGACACTCCCGGGCTGTTTCGACAACCCGGACGGAATCGGGATCCGCTTTCGCCATGTCCCCGACGTAGTACGTCTCGTTGAGATCGCCGTGGTACCCGCCGTGGTAAAGCGTGACGTCAATATTGAGGATGTCACCGTCCACCAACACGCGCTGGTCGGGGATGCCGTGGCAGATGACTTCGTTGAGGGAGGTGCAGACGGATTTGGGGAAGAAATTGTAGTTTAGTGGGGAGGGGTAGGACTGCATTTCTTTTGCATTAGCACCCCGGTGAGATTCTTATGGAGTTTTGAGAAATGGGGGCGTAGTTGGCTTACATCACGCTCTATACACGCCTTGTGCACAATCTCATCAATGTAATCCGTTGTCACCCCAGGCTTGATGGCAGCTGCTGCGATGTCTAGGACTTCGCGGGCGAGTCGGCAGACCTTTCGCATGGCATCCTGACCTGCCTTATCTAGAACGGTGAATTTGGCTCTCCGATCGTAAAAAGATTGTGCACTTTGTGGAATGCCACCTTGCCAGTAGTCTGGATGTTGGATGGTGGAGGGGACTGTGCGACGCTCGGATAGTGGGTAGACGGGTCGGAGCGAGCCGGTGAAGTTGAATGATGGAAAGGGATTGTACAGAATAGTTTCTTATATACTATTTAGCTCCAGATTGATGCTTTGGATAAGGCTGATGAACTTACGCTTAGCTTGGTGGACGGCTTTGTGTATTTTCTTGGTTGTTATCAGCTTTATTTATTCGATGGGTATACGGCGTAGTACTCACCCAGCTACGCTGGAAACAATCTTGTGAGCAGAAGAAGCTTCCTCTGATTTCTAGTTTGAGACAGGTGGGACATTGCAGCGTGCTACATTCATTGTCACACCCGTCACCCAGACATCTACGTTTTGCGACAAACTTGGAGGTCATGGTGTTCAGGTGGACGCTGCTGCGGTTGAGTGTAGCACAAAGTCGCTCTTGAGTATTTGTTTCTCTGGGTAAATGAACAATGTTGGACGTTGTTCGATTAATTATAGTACTCGTAGTTTTTGAGGGCTTCCCCGCACGTTGTTCCTAGATGTACTCCCTGCCATGTTGGGTTGCCTAATGGAGACGGGCAGACTACCCAGCAGAAGCCGACTTCGGGACACCGAAAAGTTCTCAAAACTACTAGTACCAGGCACTTAAAGTAGTATTACCACTACCATTCCTAGTCAGAGAAAGTACATCGTTGAGGTCGACTAATATAGTGTGCTGTGCCATCTCCGACGGATGTCCGGCGCGACTAAACTCCGCTTTTGTTGGTGATTCCATTGGCTGGAAGATAGAATACAACATCCAGCTGTATGGACCAAGTTGTACACTATATTTTACTCCAATTTTATTATGCATTTGATTTCCAGCATAACTCCGTTCTGAGAAATGGTACTCACGTGGAATATCGCTGCTAGGCCTAGGGCTCCGATCCCCCGGATTGACTGTTAATCCGCAGTGTGGTCCCGTGGTTGTATTTGCGGCGAGTGGGGCGGCGCTAATCCTAAAGTAGATCGGGGATGACTAGACTCAAGACAAAGAAATCGAATGTCAGCATTGTCTTTCTTCCTTCTCTTTCACCATCAGACCACTATTATCGTGTCACAGTTGATGTCAGTATCGCGCCTTGAGATTGCAACATGGGATCGAAAAGCCCCGAAGGCCACCAGCAGACTCCTGATGGTATGACACCTGCGAAGCTTTAAGAAGCTCCCTTCTGACCTGTCTGCGTCATTTAGGCTCCAACTCCTCCGAGTTCAAGCCTGCCAATCCCAACCCCAAGCCTTCCCGCAATGGCTCCCAGTCAGCCGATTTGGATGGCGGAAATCTCGGCGATGACGATGACGATGACGGTGAAGCGAACGAAGAAGTGGAAGTGAAGACCTCCGCTGCTAGTGCTGGTACGTTCAGACCCCAATCCAATCATGTTAACATCTGCATTTCTGACAAGATGATACTTATAGACAAGAAAAAGAAACGCAAGAGGTCTAAGAAGAAGACCAAAAAAGCAATCGTGCCACTCAAGCAGTCGAATCCTCCCCGTGTGCTGGTTTCGACTCTCTTCCCATCGGGATATCCCATTGGGGAGTGCGTCCCTTACAAGGACGATAATACCTCTCGCACTACGGGCGAGGAACTGCGTTATAACTCGCGTCTTTGGGATAAAGGATTTCTCGACGAGTACCGTCAAGCCGCCGAGATCCATCGTCAGGTTCGCCAGTACGCCCAGAATGAGCTCATCAAACCCGGCGCGAGTCTCACTACAATTGCTGAGGGTATTGAGGACGGGGTCCGCGCCTTGTCTGGCCATCAGGGACTTGAACCCGGAGACGGTTTCAAGGCGGGAATGGGGTTTCCTACTGGATTGTGCTTGAACAATGTTGCAGCCCATTGGACGCCCAACCCTGGTGCCAAGGATGTATTTTTGGATAAGGGTGATGTGCTTAAAGTTGATTTCGGCGTTCATGTCAACGGCCGTATCGTCGACTCGGCTTTCACTGTGGCTTTCGACCACACGTACGACAACCTACTGACGGCTGTAAAGGAGGCGACAAATACTGGCATCATGGTACGTTTTCCTTCCATGTACGATATTCTAGATACATAGCTAACTTCAACAGCATGCTGGCATTGACGCCCGAGTGAGTGAAATCGGCGCGGCGATCCAGGAAGTCATGGAAAGCTACGAGGTCGAAATCGCCGGAAAGACCCACCCTGTGAAAGCCATCCGGAATATTACCGGGCATGATATCCTTCAGTATAATATTCATGGTGGCAAACAGGTCCCGTTCATCAAGAACAACAGGCCGGACAAGATGGAGGAGGGTGAAGTCTTCGCCATCGAAACATTTGGAAGTACCGGCAGAGGCGTTCTTCACGATGATGTAGGTCTCTGTTCGTTCGATGTGTTTAGCAATACTAATGCTCCTCAGGTGGGCGTCTATGGCTACGGAAGAAATACTGATGTCTCCGGTGCAAACCTGCGTCTTTCCTCTGCCAAGAATCTTCTCAAGACTATCGACGCCAACTTCGGAAGCCTTGTCTTCTGTCGTCGCTACCTTGAGCGTCTCGGGGTGGAGAAATACCATCTCGGGGTAAGTAATGATGCAACTTACATGTCAAATAATTTCTGACTCATTATGCAGATGAGACATTTGATCGACAATGGGATTGTCGAATATTACGAGCCGCTTGTTGATGTGAAGGGTTCATACACGGCTCAGTTTGAACACGTAAGAGCTCCCCGCCAAATATTATCAGCTAAAGCCTAATAATTTCCAGACTATCCTGCTCCACAGTGGTGGAAAGGAAGTGATTAGTCGTGGTGATGACTACTAAGCATTTAGCTTCAATTGAGGCTAGATATTTGTCGTGACTAACTCAGGTCATGGCTCGGTCTGCTTGTTGGCTCATTCTTACATTGTGTACAGTCGCTATCTGCAACTGTGCAGCCTGCTCTCCGTCATGAGGCGAACATCTATGCACTCTTCAGGATGTCATAAAAAGATCCGAGTGTATATGTTCGTTGTGACATATCTCTCTTTTCAGGCCCATATTGTTTTACCATCTAGCTACTGAATATCAAGTTCAGTACATCATATGATTCGGTTATACAGGCCGTTCTCATCAATCGTAAACCTTCCGGATTGGTTTCTTACCTCCATTGCCTACGTAAAATACACCAAAACGCCATGCATGTCTACTATCCTGCCAAGGTGGTGCAAAATCACACTCGTTTGCTGATTCTCTCAGAACGGCTGGCATGCGACGAAAGCAGCAAAGCTCACTAGCAGCTTTCCTACTGCCTCGAAGCACAATTTCTTTGCTTAGGCGTAGAAGGAAAACCCTGAGACCAGGAAGCGTAAATGAAAGGCTCCATGATGCAAAAGAGTATTGTCAGAGGACTACTGGCAAATTAGCGCCAGCCTTGCTACCCCGCGCCAGCTGTCCAACACCACATCGTACCTTCCTCTATCACTGATACCGTACGTGAGGTAGAGAACCCAAACATGTCATCCGAAACGTCTAACCTTCAAGGAGAGCATGTCGCACGGGTTGTCTGGGCAGCGCATATTCTCGCCTATCTTACTAAAGGAAGAAGCCATGCGCAGGTCGAGAAGGTCGAAGATGACGTTGCCAGTGATACAGACAGTGAAATTGAGACTGAAGTGGCAGTTGACGACGAGATGGACACTGCGACAGCAAAAGCTGTACCTCTGTCTGCGTCAAGAGAGTCTGTTTTGCGGAAGTTTCTGGACTGCATTTGCCAGCTGCTGTCGCCGTCCAAGGGATGGGAAGGGGTTACTGCAGCTTCAATGCGCGAAAGCAGCGGCAGATTTTCTGTGGAGGTTGCACGGAATGATGGATTCGGTTCGGATTGCGGTAGCTTTGATCCTGCAACACTCGAGTATTGCCGGATGCTGGAAGAGTATTTAACCTCTTGTGTCAGTACTGAAGGTATGCATGTGGGGAGGGATATAGTTTGACGCGGTCATGGCTAACTGTATGTGACTGCTGACCAGAGACAAATACACCAGCAAATTCCATGGCGGAATTTGAGGCCGCTTCGATCAACTATACCGCTAGTCGAGTTGACTACTGGATTTCTGCCTGTCAAAGAACATACGCAAATAGTCATATTGACACGGATTGGCATCCGCAGGCATGGCCTGGACGTGAGTCGGCAGCTCAAACCTGGACATCGATGGCTGATCTTTTGGTGTGCTCTAATAGCAAGAGAATGGCCGCAGATATTAGAACGCTTTCGGTGCAACGGGCTTTCGGCTGCGTCAGTTCACCAGAAGTGCACCACTTACTCTTAGATGCACTTGGTCCGAAAGTTGGCTCACGGCTTTGGGTGGCTTTGAAATTCGTTGCCAGGCCCTTGACGGACTGTCAGCGTTTGCGAGAAATTACTCTTTGGGAGTCAGATCTCCGACATGCTCAAATTTCCCTAGTGCCTTCCGCGCCAAAGACGACACTGCGTATGGAACACGTTATTGATATTGTCACAGCTTGGGAGCGACTAGGTCTTGGGATTGCAACCGAGCCAGTCATCGAGTTGCTTGATCCCTACAGAGAATTGTTCAAACAGGCCTGTGCCGAGTCTCTCTCGTTGCATGCTGAAATGCAGCTCATATGTTATCATGAAGAGTGCCGTGGACGACGGAGAATGTTGCAATACTTTGGGTGTAGCAAGAAGTCATGTCTTCTTTGTGAAACATTCCTGGCTGCGATGCACGATCCGATTGAGACCCGGGGTAGGCATGGCGTGTGCTATCCTGCCTGGGGAGTTCCGTGCTTAAACTCGGATGCTATATATCTCGTTACCACCGAATTAGGAAACGACCTTGTGAACCGCATCAGAGGTTTATTCAACAGAATAATTCGACCGGGGGCGACAGCAAACGTCATGCAATCGGACTTTGTGTCAGACTTCTCGAAAATTACGCTGGAAGAGTGGCGACAGAGACAGAAAATTGTAGACATAGCTAGGGCGGAACAAACCACAAAGTGGACAAAGCTGCAACTTATGTGAGGCGACCCTGTTGGCTTTCAAGCATACGCGACTGTATAACTGACTATAACATGCCGTAGTGAGGGCAAGGGTCAAGACTTACACACCAGGGCTCGCCCACGCCCAAAGTTTGAGCCCGATAACTGTTGCGTGATGTGTAATAAAACGCCAGCCCGGCGATGCGGGCGCTGTCGCAGCACCCATTATTGTTCAAAGGATTGCCAGAAAAGCGATTTTTCTTCCCACAAGTTGCTTTGCAAGAAGCTTGCTACCCTACCTGACCGTCCATCACCAGAGCACAAGCGAGCCATTTTCTTCCCAGTGCATGAGACAGAGCCTATTCTAATTTGGATCCCTACGGAGCGTCAATATGAAGAAGATTCTAGGGTGTGGTGGACAGATGCGCTCGTACGTTCATACCTTGGTCCTGATTCACCAAGTATAGGGAGATTGTATGTGGAACACAACGACGTACGAGGACGAAATTTAGGGTCCGGTAAGTTTGGATCAGCCCTGCGCAATGAAGGATACTGTGTTACCCTGCTGCATCGCGATGGATATCTAAAGGACGGTTCGCCCCCAAATAAAAGCATACTGGCTTCTGTAAGAGCCTCTGGCGCCCCACGCCCTCCCTATGCGTACAATGGCCCGATGGTTGCAATGCGGGAGGTCCACCCAGAAGATTATGCCGATATACAGCTTTCCGACTTTCGGCATCTGATGGACTACCTAATAACATATGCAAGCACGGGTGTCAGGGAATCCGTTCCGGATCTGCAGTATCGGGCTCCCACGGTTGTTCGGGGCGTGAAGATTTGCTGCGATGGGGAGATAAAACTTCATGCATCCGAGCCGTTCGTTTCAATTGACGTGAGACGCTCAACCCGAATTCATCTCTCTTCTATCCAGGGCAATTGTAATTCGCCGATTTCCGCTCTCCTTGGCATACCGCTCATTTTCTGGAAAGACCCAGATGCTGAATTCCACGTTAACCCGCCCGGCTGGGATGCAACACAGTGGGCAAGCAGCAATCAGAATGTGGCATTCATGATGATGAGAACCAACCCTTCTGATACTTCATGGGGATGGGCTCCTCTGTATTGGAACTACGATATTGGAAATGTGTGGGTTGTCCGTGAAGACGGGCAGGATCTGGATGTGCGTGAAGTAGCGATGATGTGTCACTTCGCCAGGTTCAAGCTCCAAAGAATGTTTGAGGATACGTTAGAATCAGAAGAATCCACGCTTCAAGAGAGGAAGCGCGTTTTGAAATATATTACGCGCGAAAACATGCGAGCGTTTTGGGAGGAGACTGGTGGTGATGAGGCGGACAGAAGCCATGATGATCTGAGCGACTGACCTGTTACGGCTTGGACCTCATTTTCAACAGGGTCAGGAGTGGATGTAGTTTCCAGGGTCAAGCATCCCATATTAAATGAATCTTTTGTCACCTAGTCCTCCCGCCGAGCATCTAAATTCAACATGATTATGCATAACCCGGCTCTACCGAGTTCCTTATTTGCAGCAGGAAATGATGGCATTATTTAACTACCCATGATCCACCCCTTTCGTAATACGAAGTGAACACGTAAGAATTGAAGATATCTAGGCGATAATATGCTTGGGTAATGTCGTTGTCTTACCAATAGCCTGATCTACAGCCAAGAGTCAAAGCTTTGACATAGTAGCTCGCCGTCAGGCCCCAGTGGGAATGTTGAATATGTTTCTCACTGCACTGAACTAATTATCGTGAAGTGAAACTGGCTTTGCTCTTCCCTGTATGAGTAATAGATGAGCCCTCTGTTGCCTCTTACTGAACTTTGCTGTAGTTGGGTCCATCGCATTTAGAGTTAGGCATGTGGGTCAGTGCCTTGGAATATATCGTCTCATGCACAAAATATCATCGCGGCCGCGTTGAGGTAAACCATATTGATTCTTCCGGACCCAATACTATTACTTTGATGGGCATACTGAGTTGTTAGGCGACTTCTATCTTACGAGGTCATGAGGTGCTAGAAACTGGAGGGATGAGGATGATGTTAGGTGTTTATTTGTGAGCTGTACAGCCTGTTTGAGGAAGGTTCGATAGTATTCGTGTTCGTAGAGTTGATGCGCGGAGATAGAGCGCCCGGCAACTTTCGTCGGATCCTCGGTTGACGAGCTGATATCTGAAAACCATCGCAGTTTGCGATACGCATGACTGTATCTGGTGCCCATCTATCATCCAGCAAAGACAGTGATAATTGACTAGGTCGATGTAGATGAGCTTCCCCATTTGGATGACTTCTTCACAGACTCATGCCAATTCACGGAGAATTTGCCTGTCGGGGGTGGAGGCTGGAAACGTGCTGCTAGTGAGATCCCAAATTGGGCAGCGATAACGGCCTCAGAGGACTTATAAGAAGGCTCCTATAGGGACGCAATAACATGTCAATTACGAGGCGGGCGTGGGGTGAGAGGGGTTACTGCAACGCGACTGACTCGGTAAGACGCCTTAAGTCGATGCGGCATTCTCACCTCCCGGACACCTTGACTGCCCATCCTCTGTGAACCGTCTTACCACCAGTATTTGCTGCCAGACTATCAACCTCACCTTCATTCCACGAGTTTTCTCACATGATTGAGTGAGTGGTCTTCCAGCAACTGTCAGTCATGGGTCGATGAATCTGATACCAAGGTACGTCCAGTCCTAAAGGTACCAGCTACCATCGATGACCGTTTTTTCCGGGCTCAAGCCTCGCGCGGCAGGCTAGCCTTATGCCTAGGATCCTAAATGGCCATGACGGCTCCACATGCCGCCCGTCATGGCTATTGTTTCTCCACAGCAGACAACGTAGGAAGGCTCTTCATAGGTGTAACTGTCGAGCCGTTAGACCGGTCTCTAGCCGAGAGGCACCAGGAATTAGCTGCAGGTCTTACCTTCCAGCCCACTGGCTGCTCAATCTCCAGTCGTAAAACTTGCAACCTGGTCTTGGGAGGTGGGACAGAAAACAAGTTAAATATGGGGGCCCTCTGTCGTCTTAAGCTTCTTTGCAACTTTCACAATTCCGACCGTGGGCAGACGTAGTAGAACCGAACATGTCGCGCCAAGTTGACCGGATGGCTGAGCCAGCCGACAAAAAGAAGATGCGGCTCGTTGTAGCCAGCTGCAGCAGGTAATGAGTCTCCTGTCAGCGTGAGATGCAGACAGGCATGTCCTGGTAGCAAGACGAAGATCTTTCGGACTAACGGACGTCGATAACAGAACGGGTACTCTGGGTCTCCACGAAGCCCTGGAAACGCTTGGGTATACACCATATCACATGATCGACCTGATGCTCAAGGGTAGAAAGCCTCACATCAAGGCTTTCACAGAGGGCATCCTAGCTCATAATAATCGATTCTCTGGCATCAAGAGATATGAGACGCCAGACCTTGATCGATGGATAGGGAGTTTTGATGCATGTTGACCTTGAACCGCTATCTGTTTTACAGCCGGGTGCTGACTGCCAGGTGTATAGTGCTTGATGGAAATACCAAGCTATATTGGACTCCGAGCTCTGGCGGGTTATATTGAAGACCCGGACGTCAAATTTATCGTGACTGAGCGCTCGCCTGACAAATGGGTCAAGTCGTTCAATAACACAATTGGAGAAGCGATCATGGCAGGCCACAAATTTCCACTGAACATTTTGAGGCGCTTTGACTCGGAAGTGGGTCAGTTTTTCAATCTGGCCGATGTAATGTACTGGGCATACTCTGACGGCACAAACCCCGGCCATCCGAACAACGAGGCGGCTCTTCGAAAGAACTATGTCGAATAGTGAGTGTCGCTATTCGCTTTCACGGTGATAACTGGCTGATTATAAGCAATAGCATCCGGGAAGTGAAGGAAACACTGCCAAAGGATAGACTTCTTGTGGTCCGACTTGAGGATGGACTGGGCTGGGAGGAGATCTGTCCATTCTTAGACGTGCCCATTCCCGAAGAGAAGTACCCTCGAGGCAATGAGCCAGACAAGTTCCATAAGATCATTGAAGATTATTTGGAGCCAAAATTGAAGGCTGCTATGATCAATCTAGGCACATTTGTAGTCACAGTCGCCGGGATAGGTGGCTACTTGGGTTGGAGGTATTATCGCGGGCATTAGAATCATCAGCGCTCCCTTCTGGAGCGTCCTAGGAATATGAAATTGACATTGACCGTGAAATTAAGATTCTCAGTTGACTGTGGGGAATGGTTAATCTTTATAAATGTGATCTTAGCGCGATGGCGTGATTTGGCTGCAATATGGCTCATCCCCCGACCGAAGGATGGTCGAGTCCACAGCCTCACGGGAGTACGATATAATGCAGTATTCGTGAGGCATAAACCATGTATGAGATGTTTGTAGTTATTGACTATTGTATATATACACCCATTAGTCTCCGAGCAACACCAGTCGTGTGGTAGGGCCATATTGGGGGCAGATACGGATACCATTCAGACGCGACGCTATTGTAGTCTCTTCCCACACTCCCTTCAATCGGCGAGGAACAAGTGGCATACTATAAGAAAGAAGAGTACTGAAGAAAATTCAAACTTAATATGGGATAAGACGCAAACAGTTCAGTCGGGTACTTTTATGAACGGCAAGTTCAATTTTGTGGGACTCTAAGTGTACGGGGTAAGCTTCAGGAAGATAGAAGGTGGAGAGAGGATATGATTCTACTTTGTATACCTCAGGCCTCCACTTTCCCCACACCCACAGCCTTCTTGTGTCCATACCAACCATCAACAACCATCACTTAGGTTCAGTCGCATTGGTCCACCAACGAACACCGCTGATAGGGGCTCGTGTGATGGCTGCAACAGCTTACGATGAAAGTGGAGCAGAACTTGGGGTTGCCTTTATGTCACTTCTATTGTGAGTATGCATCTTCAAAGATTAAAGCAATGCGCACCCTGGAAGAAATCCAGATTGACACATTATTAAAAATGAACCTGATCGATGAAATGCAGTACGCTGATTCCAGGCAACAGGAATTAGTTCCGGATCATGAGCCACAGTGTTGAAGCTGGCAGAGAGGCTAGTTAGGCAGAGGAATAAGAGGTCCATGGTAAGAGTCCAACTCCTTGAGGCCCTTGGTATGGATTTGGTCTTCCACAATCCCAGTCAATCTTCTTTACTGATTCAAGCCGAGATTGATAGTTTAGTAACCATCTTAAAATATTGAACTATCCAACTGGAAGAGTGCTTTTCCGTACGCATACCACTGACATCATCCCGAGGGTTCCTAGCCCGGTGACCCGCATTTGCGATCTACTGAAGAAGTATCCGCGGCAAGCCGATCGGTCAAGACGAGGCTATATATATTCTTATCGCAGAGATACCCCTCCTAACCTCTCAATAAATCTCCATATAGGTACCAGGTTCTGTACACATCTCTCGCTTCGATGCTATAACACCGGGAAGAAAAGACCATCCGGAAACAATGCCATCATTCACCCTCGCCAGTCAAACTCCCCACCTGATAATACAGCCTTCCGACGCTGCTCTCTCCCCACCTGAGAGCTACTTGTTCGTTCAGGATGGCCTTATAATTAGTTGTGGCATTCTCTACGCCTTCTGTTACATATTTTGCATGATTCGCACGTACAGTGACCGGACATACCCGTCTGCGTCAGCTAAGGGGATCCAATTCATGAGTCTGACACTTGCCTACGAACTCTTCTACGCGGTAGTGACCACAACTACCACCTTTGAGCTCCTTGCATTCCTGGCTTGGTTCCTACTTGATGTAGGATTTGTGGCAGTGGCAATCTGGCGAGCACACGAAAAGCGCGACCGGGCGTGGTTAGTACGGAGAATAGTAGGCTTCGTACTTGCGGGAATGGGCGTACTGAAGGGGTTGACGATGCTGTGGCCCGATGAAAGGGAGCAGGTCACAGCATACTGGACGGGAATTCTGCTACAGATGCCGATCGGTTGGATCTGTTTGGCGACGCTGTGGAAGGAGTGGAATACGAAGGGCCATTCGTTGGAAATCTGGTATGCGGTTCGCAATTGCCTGCTTGCGTTTTTACACCGCTATGGGAGATGCTGACGGGGATACTAGGCTCATGCGATACTTGGGCTGCTATACAGCCTACGGGGTTTTCTTCTGGAGGTATTGGAATGTGCCACAAAACTGGGAATATGTGGCGTCGGTGTGGAGTACAGTGATTATTTTGTGGACACTGCTGCCTGAAACGGTCTATCCGTTTGTCTACGTTTGGGTGCATCGCACATCCAAAGTAAAAGGCGAGTAGACACATACTTGACTTGAGTTCTAGACATATTAGCAAGATAACTAGTGGTTGCGGTTCAGGGGATAAAATATACAGATACAATGTGAGGAATAAATACAAATCAGGGAATTTTCCAGTCCGAAAAAATTGACTAGAAACTTCACAGCGATAGACGCTCAAAGTGATGGGAAAACAACGGTGGCGGTGTTGCAAAGAAAGTCAAGAAACTCCAGCAGATGCGCCCGTGCACCAACCGACTTTTGGACGTTGCTGTCATGTGGATCGCGTCTCCACTGCGGGCGCCCGTCACCGATGCCTGAATTTCTAGCATGATCTCCCTCGAACTCCTCTGTTTCATACTAACTCACATCCTGTCCATGCAGCAACCTGCGCAATTGACTTTGCTCCAACCACTGGACTCGCAATGCTCTTCATGCAGCTACGACACCGAGTAACCATGGCGCCGAGACATTGGGCGGCCCGGCGAAGACGAGGCTTGGTTGTCGTAAGGCACAATTCGACAGTGTCTGTGAGAGAAAATGGGCGAATCGGGTCCACAAATCTGACGAGGCTACTAGAAGCCCATTATAGATCATAATCTTCTCTCAGGGCCCTCAGAATAGCATCACAATGGGTTGATCGCCAGTCCAGCACAGCACTCCGATGTGTTTCTGTTTCCCCGATTGCGGTCTGGGTTCTTGCCAGCTCATACCCACTTCAACCCGGAACACCGCCATCCCAATCAGATGCACACAACTTTCGTGCATTCCCAAACACGTTATGAAAGACAACCTTGCATCTACATATGCAACTGACGTGGTTTCTGGGCGCTAGTCCAGGCGGCTCTGAGTTGGCTTCGAGAGACTTCAGAGATCCACTCATCCGCCCTGCCCTTCATCCCTTTCTTAAAAGACAATCCGTGTCGCAGCAGCACAAACATTCCTCAATTCTCATACCTTCCCACCTCAACCAGCTTAACGACTCATCTCATCAGCCATTGGGCTAATTGATGGACACAATGGGCCAGAAGAACTACAAGCGGCTGTACTACAACCTCCTGCGCTCTCAGGAAAACGACGCACAAGTTCAGGAGATCCCGATAACAGAATACCCTCAGCCAGAGATAAGGTCAGCCAAATCATTGTGCTTTGCTCCCTGATGTACCTACTGACCTTGGCGCTCATCTAGCTGCTACACGACACCGATTGCCACCGTTGTCATCGGTCAAACACACTTCAAGATCGCTGAATACCACCTGCGCCCTTATTCAAGCTTATCACACAACTCGTCGGAACTTCATATCAGCGACATCAACGAAGATATCGGACATACGTTCATTCACTTTCTCAGCACCGGCTGCTATGAAACACTCAAGCCCACCGATCTTGGCCCGGAGAATTGCCCTTGGGCTCGCGAATTCGAGCGCAGCGTTTATGCCTATCATGCTGCGAGGCGCTACAGCATCTTCGGACTCGAGGAACACGCTAAACGGTATATGCTGACTTTCAGTGAAGAAGTGTCAACGCGACAACTTCTGAAGACTGTTAGCAAGGTGTACTCGGAACTTCCGGGCCACGATTCATGGTTCGAGAGTTTCATCCGGGACAAGCTCGCTGCTGCTTTCGAAAAGGATGAATTCAGCTTTAGGTACCGCGTCGTGCGCGACGGCCTGGGTTCTGATGACGATTTCAACCGATTCTTGATGTACACGACTTTGGAGATCTACGCGGATAAATTGACTTCGCTGCGGGAAACCGCACCGAACGGACACCACCAGACCAACGGCCATGCAGAAATCCCTTCGGAGGAGAAAGGTCCTGCTGAAGAAAAGCAGTCGACTACCGAATCTCCGGATGATAAGGATGAGAGCTCGCCACGGTACTCCAATGAGCCGCTTTCCGCAGATGACACGCCAACTGTCGTAAATGCTGTGAACTCACGGCCCCAATCGCCGATCCCACCTTCAACGGCTTTCTTAGCCTCTCCGGCCCAGAATGGATACAATTGGGCTTCATCTTGCAGTGATTCTCCCCCTAGGGAGTTTCCGGCATTTGCTCCTTCGCCCCCTTTGATTAGGCGAGAGACTGTAGACTGGGCAGATCCGGATCCAGAGCCAGAGCGAGAACCAAGCTTTCGGCCAGAGACGGAGCCGCCAATTACAGATCAAAAGCCAGATCGGGAGCTTGAGTCAGAGCAACCGCCAAAGCAGGAGCCCGAGCAGAAGCCAGAGCTGGAGATAGAGCAAAGACCCGAGTCGGTGCTGGAACAAGAGCCAGAGCCCGTACCTGAGCCAAAGCCCGAGCAAAAGCCCGAGCCAAAGCCCGAGGCGCAGCCGCAGACACAACCGCCATTGCAACCCCTCCCTCCACCGGACCTCAAACGAAAGACAGAACCCGAGCCCGTGATCAAAACGGAGCCAGAGTTAAAGTCAGTACCACTCCCGAAGCCGGCGCCTGGAAATCAGGCGGCACCGGCAGAGCAGCCCGCTCAGCCTAAAAAAAAGAACAAGCCCAACTCACACAGAAGGAAGAAGAAGAACGCCCAAATGCATGCAGCGGCTGCTCAGCAAGCTGGGCCACAAGCCAACGGGTCGGCCGCGAAGCCATAATTCTGATGGTAAAGATGCTAAGAAGCGGCCTGAGACTCTGCCGTTATTCACCAAGCCTAAATCCCACGCTCTTTTGGAATATTCTCAAGTCACCCATCGGTCACATATCCTCGGCTTATAAGGATATAATGGATATTATCCACTCGCTCGCTACCTTTCTTTTGTTGATGTACTATACACTCTTTGTTATCTATGATGGAATCGCTCGCTCGTGAGCCAAGATTCTGTCTATGAACCGTGTTTTAGAGGGAGGGCAACAGGAGATCTTCTACCTGGGCCTCTATCTCGCACATACCGAATTACATCACACAAAACAGTTCCACTGTAAAATTTGGAACGTTTACCATACTCCATCGCTTCTTCCTTCTCATAAATAAAGTTAACCCAATAGGACACTGTAGAACAACGACCCTGTAGCTAGAATGATAACTTATCCGAGCGATCGACACTACATCGGCTATCATTGCTGGGGAACAACTACAGAAATTAAGTACCCTATAGTCTCTATAGGAGTATTTAGGCAGACCATTCCGCTATGCGATGTTCCCAGTATATATATCTTGCTGCATCAGGAAGGTGAGGGACAACAAGTCCATCGGGTAAGGCTGACACGGGTGTCGTTGCCTTAGGCTCGGGATCAGAACGATGTAGACAATCCCCTCGGAATGACATCACATCTTCGATTCCCGCATTCGACACATGTTTATCATCCACGAACATTTCATACGTTCTAGAATGGTTTACCCCGGGCACACCCGCTTTTGCAATATGGAGCACAGTTTATGGTAGGCTGGGTGAGCTCCATGCCGAGATCCAGGATTGTCATTCTGGCGTCATGGGCGTCGCAGTAACCACCGCCATGAGAATTGCTCGCTACCATCATATTCACGTCATGGACTCAGACCACCATCTTATCAGGTCCGCCAGTACGCGAATATCCCTGCATCATCAAATTCCTAGATAAATATGTCAACTCCTCTGCAATTGACCAGTTTTTTGGTGTACATAGCTCCCTCCCGACTTCTTTCACGGCACATCCCATATCAGATCCGCCAAATCCACCGCAGGAAATTCTCCAGCCTCAATTCAACCGCTAATATGAAAATCGCTATCACCGGTGCCCGCGGCACCGTAGGACGCGCTGTTGTCAAAGAAGCCTCTCAGGCCGGCCATTCCACAGTCCAGGTTGACCGAACCGATACCGAGTACGATGGAACGCCCAATTCCGAGATGAAGACCGCCGACACGGCCAATGACTACGAAGCCACGCTGGAAGCCTTCAAAGGCTGTGACGCCGTTATTCATCTTGCTGCGATACCAGACCCCATAGGGAAGGACGACCAGCTGGTCCACAACAACAATGTTACATCGGCATTCAATGGTTTCTACGCCGCTGCGCAACTGGGAATCAAACGATTCTGCTACGCGTCGTCAGTGAACGCGATCGGTCTCGAATATGCCACGCAACCGCTGAGATTCGAATACTTCCCCGTTGACGAAGAAGCACCACCCAATCCAACAGATTCATACGCACTGGCCAAGCAAGAAGCTGAGACCCAAGCGAGAACATTTGCTCGATGGTTCCCCGGAATGAAAATCGCGTGTATGCGAATCCATGCCGTGGCGTCCCGCGAGGAGGCACAGAAAGGACACAAGGAGAATTGGGAGGACTCGGCCGTCAAAAGCTTGTGGGGATGGGTGAGCCCGGATGCGACTGCGAGAGCCTGCTTATTGTCTGTGGAGAAGGCCGAGAAACTTAATGGATGCGAAATTTTCAATGTTGTTGCTCCGACGACGACACAGGACACGCCGTCGATTGAGCTTGCAAAGAAGTATTATCCCGATACCGAGATTCGGCGCGAGCTCAAAGGAAATCAGTCGTTCTTCACGGCTGAAAAGGCAAATAGGATACTTGGTTGGGTCCATGAGGAGTGACTTGCCGGTAGGGCATATCGCCTATAGAAATATTTTCTGCCATATCGAAGCGAATGAACCAAATCTGTCTGTAATACCAACAAATAGCAATCATCACATTTTTAAGTTTAACAGTACGTGCTATTCTCGCTACTTTAATGGATATAGATTCTCCCCACGAGTCATGGTCGAATGGGGAATTAGAACTGCTTATCTTCCCGATCTCGCCAACTGGCAGGCTCATCACGCAACTGCACCCCTCCAGATGACGCCATTTCCACCAATGCACCATCTCCCGCTTCGCTTAGAAGCATTGATCAACTGCAATTTGAACGTAAACTGTGTCACAAGAAGAATACTCTGCAAACTTGAATTTTATCATAGTCTATCATTCTTGCTTTCGTTATTGTATGGCTCTTGCACCTTCAGAGGTCCATCCGACACACTCCCGATGAAGCAATTGGAGCCCTAGATCACGACTTAAAAACACGGCTGACTAGCCAAGAAATGGCCCTCGATCTAATCATGCATGAAGGGCCCTCGCTTAGAGTGGTTAGTATCTGATCACACGCGGTATGGAGTGCAGAACATGAGTGGCCTGCCATGAGGAGGTCCTTGCATTGATGCTCCGTTATCTCTCGTCGCGAGATATCTTGGAAATGGCGTGCCTTGGGTTGGTGGCTGCGAGCTCGCAGCTTGCATCCTTTAAAGCTTCCGATCGCGGCCTACGACGAGGAAAATATTGGGAGTATGCAGATTTCTGTCTACTACTGGCAACATGGCATCTCGAAAGGATGGCAGTCATGAAACTGCCGATCAATTCGATCAGCGGCACTACTCAGACTCTTCGCAAGACCTTCCCTCTCCGAAGGACAAAGCTCAGGTTCATACGCGCCCGTATGAAGATGCGACAGATGCGACCCTTGATAATCCCTTCGCAGACCCTGAGGTTGCGGAGCGCTATGCTCTCATCTATGAGAAAGCGCAGTATGAGTGTCGACATGTCTTTGATCCTACACTTACGTGGACAGCGGAAGAGGAGAAGGCGCTCGTCCGGAAGTTGGACTGGAGGGTGTGTCTATGGGCTGTATGTTAAGGTGAATCTGTTCTGCTTGGAAATATGCTCACTTCAGAGGATAGTGCGTGATGTTCTTTGGACTTCAGGTTGACCGAGGAAACCTTGTACAAGCTGTGTCGGACAATTTGCTGGATGATCTTGGTCTCACCACGAATGGTGAGCGCAACGCTTCTTTTGATTACAAGGTCTCTGACGTGTGCAGACTACAATACCGGAAACACCATTTTCCTTGTTGCCTTCCTTTTAGCCGAGCTGCCTTCACAACTGGTGTCCAAGCAGATTGGCCCCGATCGCTGGATTCCCACGCAGATGACCATATGGTCAATCGTTGCTGCTGCACAGGCTGCTTTGAGTGGGAAGAAATCTTTCTATGCAACGAGAGCATTGTTAGGAATACTCGAGGTATTCAAAATGAACTGAATCCATGGTGCTATATTCTGAAGTCTATAGGGTGGTTTCATTCCCGACATTGTCCTTTGGTTATCCTACTTTTACACAAGCCGAGAGCTTCCAACCCGCTTGAGGTAATTTTCTGTCTCCTCTATCTCAGTCCATTACTGACGGCCATAGTATTTTTTGGACTGCACTATCTTTGACTACTATTATTACCTCTTTCCTCGCATTCGGCATCCTCCACATGCGTGGTGTACAAGGCATGGCTGGCTGGAGGTACGTATCATGTTTTCCTTTCCTTTACAGGTCTAACAGAATCTACAGGTGGCTATTCCTAATCGAAGGACTCATCACTCTTCTTATTGGTCTAAGCTCCTTCTTTCGCATGCCTGCCTCTGCTGTCGACACCAAGAAATGGTTCCGCCCGAAGGGTTGGTTTACAGACCGTGAAGTCAGCATCGTGGTCAACCGGGTTCTGCGCGATGACCCCTCTAAGGGTACGTTTGCTTTACCATTGCTTTGAACATTTGACAATCATTCTCACATTCCTTAGGAGACATGCACAACCGGCAAGCCATAACTCCGCGTCGCCTTTGGAACTCCCTCCGAGATTACGACATCTGGCCGATCTACCTCCTTGGCCTAGTAGTTTATATCCCGCAGACACCAATGACGTCCTACATAACCCTAATTCTCAAGGGTGTGGGGTTTGGCACCGTAAGTGTGACACTTCTACAAAACCAGTATAGCATGCTAACATCAACTTCAAATAGTTCACTACGAACCTTCTCACCATCCCCTATAGCGTCGGCCACATCATCTGCCTATTATTGCTCACCCGTCTCAGCGACTGGCTTAAAGAACGCTCCTTGGTGTCAATGATCCAATCGATATGGACATTACCCTGTGTTATTGCCCTCCGCTTTTGGCCTGGTACAATGACCAACGCATGGGGGACGTATGCTACCGTGACCGTGCTACTCTGCTATCCGTACTGCCACGCTATCCTGGTAGGATGGTGCTCGAAGAACTCTAACAACGTGGGAACACGGACAATCTCAGCAGCACTCTATAACAGTGAGCTGACCCCTTCTGTCTTACTACACTACAAAGTGTGCTTGCTAATAAACTTATGACAACAGTGTGCGTGCAACTCGGCGCCATCATCGGCAACAACATCTACCGGGCGGACGATAAACCCAAATACCATCGCGGAAATTCCGCTCTTATAGGAATTAATATTCTGGCTATATTGCTCTTTATTGGCACGAAGATATACTATATTTATAGAAACAAACACAGGGAGCGCGTGTGGAACGCAATGACCGAAGAGGTAAGTATTGTGTTCCAGGCATTAGCAGAATAGTCAGCTAACTTGCCACATAGGAACGGCAGGATTATCTGCAGAATACAACGGACACAGGAAGTAAGAGGTTGGATTTCCGCTTTGCGCACTAGCATTTTCTGTATAGCCATCGCTTGCAGTGACGAAGAACACATCAGCCAAACCTTACAACAGGGTTAATAGTGATTAGTAGACAAATGAACTTACGTGCCTTCGTGTCCTTATTCAATCAATATAAAAAACTGAGTCGTAGAGAAAAATATCAAACATCCCAAGCCAAACTCTATACTACCATCATATTCCCAGTGTATCCTTCTATGATGCTGTGATGTACAACCCTATGTTGTGGACTTTAGATAAAATTCTGCTATTGTAGGCTATAGTACGTAATTTTGACGTGTTCCACAACCTGGATCGGTAGCTCAGTGGTAGAGCGTAGGATTGCAGATCCCGAGGTCACGCGTTCGAACCGCGTTCGGTCCTTTTTTTGCTTTGTTTGTCTCCATCTATCCATCGGCGGAAATAAATGGCAGATATGTACTAGTTAATGTTTTTATTTATTATTTGATCTTTAAATTTCATTTAATGTCTTTATCTCTCTTTTTGTTGATAAATAAACACTACTATGACAAATTTTACACTTAACTAACCAAATAATAAGGATTCACGGCTCAAATATCTCTAGCAAGAGAAAATAGCCCGCTGAAATACTAAGCTCTTCTCAGCTTCACCTGAGCTCAGCTCAGACTCTCTATTTTTCTAGCACCCTGTCAAAGTTTCGACCTCATCGTTGGGGGAAACTGTGCAAGAATATTTCCATTCTCAGAGACATGACAATCCACATATGGGACGTAGAGGAGTACCAGACACGGCTTCCCGCCCCTGTAGCTAGCTAGGTACGTTCAAAGACGCCAACCTCTCTGTTCGAGTTCGGCCGTGGGAACGCTGCAATAAACCTCTCCTTTCGGAGGTATGACCAAGCACAAAATCCCAGCACCTTCGGTCCATAATCGTCCAATTTATAATAGAGAGTTGTACCTGTAAACGTTGTCCCAATAAATTTATTGCTGTATCATGTGCTCATCGTAACTCCCCCACGTCACTAAAACATTACTGCCTAACAGTAAGTAGTGCTTTACCCCAAGAAAGGACAAGTAAAAGTGAAGCCTGAAGGGAAAATGGAGTTCTTGGCTATAAACAGTAAGTGGTCTAAAGATATCACTCAGAACCCTTACATGTGGATTCAGGGGACTGAGACTGGATTTAGGGCTGCAGCCTGGAGCCTTCAACCTCCACTTGGAGGCATTTTCATCCTCGATCTTCATTCGAACTCGTTCCAATATCTTAATGCAGAAGAGTGAGAGTACTGGACCCTTGGACCCCGGAATTTGTGCTGCCCCACTTGTCTCCGATTGCTCGTTTTCGTATATTTATTACCCAATCGGGCTAACTGAACGACCGAAGGGTATGTAGTTATGCACCGCAGCCTGGTCATAGGGCTGGAGGACTACTATATAAACCCTCATGCGACCTCTATAATATTCCTTAGAAAGTACTGTCATCAGCCCAAGGACAGGGTATATATCACATCATGTATTGTGGTACCAGCCTTTTCGCAACGCTTATTCTAGCAGTCAGCGGCATCACCAGCGCCCTGGACTGCAAATGTGTGAGTTTTCAGACAAACGTTACTTCCAAAACCTAATTTGCATGATAGACTAACTAACACTTTGAATTCCATTACCTCTGCAGTCCCCCTCCGACCCATGCTGGCCATCTGCAGATGAATGGACCTCTCTAAACCAAACTGTATCCGGAAGACTTATCCGAACGGTGCCAGCAGCATCCGTCTGCTATCCTAGAGAGCCCAACTATGACCCAGCAGCTTGCACAGCCGTCCTGGGGAACTGGACTACATCAAAATTCCATTCCTCAGACCCAGTTAGCGTCGATAGCCCGGTCTGGTCCAACAACAGCTGCAATCCGATCTATCCTGATGGAACTAGCATCACGGGAAATGTGCATGCGGAGCAGCAAGGCTGCAGTATTGGCAACTACCCAGTCTATGTGATCAATGCCACCGATGCCAGTCATATCCAGGCTGGGTTGCATTTTGCGAAGGAGTGGAATCTGCGATTGAATATCAAGAATACGGGCCATGGGTCTGAACGCAGTATTAATCATGGGAGTTTGTCGTAAGTTGAT